CACATGGTTTAAATAAAAAAGTTGCTATTGTGTTTTTGAAAATTGTTATGTAAAGAATAAAAATACATGACATATTAGCAACAAATAATAAATCTTCCAAACATATTTTAATTATATAAAACATAGATCAATGTACTAAAAAGATACAGTAAACTTTTGCAATGTGGAATGAGCACTGATACAGAAGTAAAAACCAAAACGCTCATAATTTGACCAGAAGAAATCATTTGTCTTACAGAGGTAAGTTCTAAACACAATAAACCATATAAAAATGATAAGTTCAACTTATTCTTTAGTTACATCAATAACTGCACGTTATCACTGTATGTATTAAAGATTTAAGGCACAGGAAAAACATTGAGCAGAAAAATATATAGGCTTTCTCCAAACTTCTATAATTCACTACAGTAATTGTGCCTTTCCATATCACTATATATGTGGCAATAATTTAAACACTTAATTAAGCTACATGGTTCAAGCTGATGAACCAGCTGATAGAACTACATGGTGGAATTTATTTGGTTCCACTCACAGACTCAAGCGAAGTCATTGTTGGCGTAAGTCAATGCAGTTATACTATTTACCTCTGATTATATAAATGCTTTATGGTTATCCAGATACTTTTTAATTTTCCTAATCTACAGAGAGTTATGCCTCTTCAAAACACAATTTTTTTTCCATCAAACATGGGAACACTCTTTCATTTTCCATGTGACTCACTCTGACATCCTGGTAGGAAATATACAAATTTCACGTGATAAGAACAAAATTCAGGCCCATCTACACACCAGAACATTTGAACAAAGGCAAAAATCATATGATATTATAAAAATGATATTTAATAACAAAGAACTGTATGTACTCATTGCCTCTGAAAAACAGACTTACTTAAAAAAAGAAGAAAAACACGAAATGTTTCATTCCAGGAGGACATTACATTCACACAAAGATGCTAAAGAGCTTCTGCGCTGAACTTGAACATTAAACTACCAGATTAATAAGTGAGCCTTTTATTCTATTTTTAATGCATCTGGTTATTTGGTACCAAAAGGAGTCCTTGATACATTCATGTAAGTCATACATACACATTCGAAAACATAATAAACGCCTTTTGACAGAGCCTATGTTGGTGTGAAATACCCTGTACCTAAAGTATATTGAATTTAAGGGTGATGACAAAAATTGAACTATTTATTTCAGGAAAAAATATATATCTTATAACTTCTCACATTAAAAAAAAACAAACTGTTTTAACATCGATTCCTAGAATAAATTCTTCATTAAAATGCTAGTAGCCTTCTTGTTTTGAAAAGCATTTTAAGTCTCTGTTAAAGTCTTAGGGAATCAAGTTTTAAAGCACCATATACATAGTTTCTTAACATTTCCTCTCCTCAGGTTTGTATACGCGGTATCTCTCACCTTCCCCCAAGAGCCTTATTCTATCAATAATGCTGTGCCTGATGAGGCCTTTTTAATGTTTTAAAGTGTGTGAGTGCATAATATTTCTATTAATATTGGCAACATTTTCAGAGGTGCTTTCTATTTAACATTTAATCTTTTTTTTTTTTCACTTTGCTTTTGCAAAAAAAAAAAAAAGGAAGAAAGAATAAACCTACTTATTTAGGGAGTCTGTTAACAACATAAAGGAGCCTTCCTGTTGTTCTATGACCCCAATTTTAAACACAGGTAAGTGAATCTATATCACCTAATACCTTTGTGTATTTGGTAGTTCACTTCCATATAAATTTTGAGGATGTTGGTTTATGGGCTATAAACTGGAAGCATAAATCTCAATAATCCCACTATGGGTTCATATTCTATTCTATGTTTCTATTATAGAAATATCTGACTGACTCCACACCACATTTTTATGAGATGGTTCTTTTTTTAAACAATCATGGCAGAAACTAAAACTTCTAGCATGAAACGAGAGACATGATAGTATCATATGCTTCTCATGAGTCTAGCATTCTAACACTGCCCCAAAAATATAAGAAAAAAAATCTAATAATTAAAAAGTCCTCAATGGCTATAGAGAAAAATAATGAGTGAAAAAGACCCTTTGTGGAAATATTATAATAATTTATTACTTAAAGTCCGTAGGCACTCACTAAAAACAAAAAGGGAGCTTTGATGGCGTAGTGCCTAAGGCACTTGACTGCTAACCAGAAGGCTGGCAGTTCAAACCCACCAGCCACTCCTCGGAAGGAAGGTTAGGCAATCTACAACCATAGAAATACCATCTTGGAAACCCAAGGAGGGGTCACTATGAGTTGGAGTTGACTTGACGGCTAGTGGCTTTAAAGGAAGCTAAGCTAGGAGACATGTCTAGCATGAAAGTGACTTCAGTCAAAACCTTCTGTATTTGCTCTGTAAAACTCCTAAATGTTCAATGCTATTAACAAACCATTTGTTTATAAATGCCTTATAATCCAATTAAGCTTAAGAAAATAGTTACATAAAATTATAACTATGAAATATATGTATACAGCATCACAAAGAGCTAATAGTTTAAAGCATTTTATTGGTCATTACATAGAAGCTGTTTATAGCACCTCTCTATAAAGCAATGCACGAAGCCTTATCAAGATCTCTTCTGGCCCACTCACATTAATGGCCCCCAAATCTGTCAGAAAGTCTCATGTTATATCTGTCACGGAGGACACAATTCCCAGGAGAAAACTTCCACATTCGGGAGGTGAATTAACTTTCATCAGTCATGTTAAAGTCATCTCTAAGTGTTAATTCTTGTGAATCACTTCCTCTTGGGTAGATGTCTGAACTTATTTTTTTTTTTTTGTTAGTAATATATGTGCAAAATGTTTTAAAGTGTGTTATCTATCCCCTCGAGGTAGGTCACAATTATATCTTGTTGACAAGTGGGAAAACACGTACATACGATAGAAGAATGTGCCCCCATTTTTTCAACTTTGTGCTATAGTTATTGTGGCCTATCACCTTCTTGATGTGTGATTAAATGTTAGAGACTAAACATTGTATTTCATCAAAAATATTTAAAGTGTGCATCATAGAAATGACTCCAAAAGAATTCCCTAAAACTTAAGCTCCACAGTAAAATGAGAAAGGAATAGGAGGAAAAAATAAGAAAGAATATCTTTATTAAAGAAAGAGATGAAAAACTTTATATTAGAGAAGGAAAAAAGAATTATCTTGATAAATATAAATTCTTATATGTAATCTCTCATTTTTATATACTATTAAAATTAGTAACCTCAAACTCAGTGATGGTGTTGGAATTTAACATTGATAGATTAGTTGCCCTATTTCTCTAGCAATAAAAGATGATTGCCTGTAATCCACAAGTGCTTTATATTGTTCCATTTAAACAAGTACACCTACTACAGTAGAAAACACAATCTATATCTTATACTAGAAATATAGTATCCCCATTTATAATTAATCCTGCCAGATTAATATATTCTATATAATTATCTCTTTCCAATACTGTAACATTATTATCTCCACTTATACTTTCTATTTGTGGAAAATATTAAAATAGCTTCTGAGAAAAATACATCTGTTTTCTATAGCATTAGTAAGTGCTTTATGTAGCTGCCAACTACTCTGAGTCTATGGGGTTATAAAACCTGAAGAGGAAAAAGTTTTTAAACTTATGATTTATAATGATTCTTATCAAAGCATTAGAAGTTAAAATTTCCAATGTACAGCTTCTTTATACTAACACAAAAATTCTCGAATATGAGAAAAATAAATTATTTCTATATTTAACAAAGAATAGCATCATCACCTAAGAATTCAAAAAACTAACGTGATTATATTTTTTAATCAGCCAACAAAATATGTGGCTAGGAACTGGTTTCATTACAATTTTTAAACTTTTTTTCAACAATATCTCTCACATCACTTACAATTCTATGGAAAAGAATCACTTGGAGGTTTCGTCTCACTTCAACCAGCCAGGAAAAGGAATATCTGCTGATATTCCTTGGGGCAAAAAAAGAAATGGGCAAAATAATCCTAATGAAAATAAAACAGAAAGCAAGTGAAATTGAGCAGCGAAAAATTCATTTAACCTACTTTTTTCTTCCTATTACATCGTCTTCTGTTTTTCACGGGGGAGGGGGGCCTGGGGAAATTTCAATTTTTGAGCCACCCAAATTGTTTTCTAACAATAACCTGAGAGAGAAGAATATTATTGGTAAAAGTAGAATATTATTGGTAAAAGTAGAGTGGATCAGTGACAATCTATGGGATATCAGAATTTGCCAACCAGCCAGACAGGTTACATCATTTAATTTGGTGTTCTTTTATCATTCCTTCCTGAGTGTGTGCCATTAAAGCCCTGAGTATTAAAACCCAAAAGCTTTTAAGGGAGGCACATGACAGTCGTAATCACTAACACTCTGAATTAAGGTTTTCTCCTTCCAAAAATGAATACCTTGTACTGTCTTTCCAGTTGTTTAAGGTGGATTTTGGCTAAGGAGGAAGAAGGAAAAGAGTGTCAACAAGTAATGGAAACATTTCAATCTCTTGCCATGACCAAATTATCTCTGAAACTAAACTGCAATTTGTTCATTCAAGAGTTTATTACTTTAAGAACAATATTACATGTTTTCCTAATACCGTTACTTTAAAATACTATACCTTCCTAGATAGCTTTAAAATAAGCTGCTATCTAATAATCTAGCTTCTAAATTTACAAGAAAGTATACATTACGAGTAATCCTATTTTTTCAACCTTTACAACGCCAAGAGGTCCACTGTCTTCCAGTGCAAATTCCCCTCAGTCTCTAAATTTTTCTAAATGACTTTTAAAACACACAATAAAAATAAGTCACTCTCCTTGAGTAGCTATTAAAAGTTATCTAGTCTTTCCATTCAGCCACTAATTCAAAAATTCAGTAGGTAGTATTCAACCTTATTGTCACATTATGTTTAACAATAACTATATGCTTATTGTTCAAGTATTGTAACCCTTCATTTTCCTTATAATCCATATATTCTCTTTCTAAATCCATCTATGCCATGACAGCATCGTCCTTGTTCTGTTCATTCTCTTCATTGTTGTCATTTTCTTGTGGACTAGTGACTTTCACTTCTGGCCTTGGCAATCTTTGAGGGTCTAATTCAGCCTAGAGGAAAAGAAATTTAAACCAAGACACTTCAGTTTCCAAAGATGATAAAACTTCCAGGGACAAAATTACTTAACATTCCATTTAATCACATAAATATTCAACTAGAAACAGTCCCTGGGTTCCATTTGTTCTTTAGGTTGTCATTGCCCAACAGACGTGCTATTCTCAACACTTCACATTTCCAGAATCCCTTTCTGGGACCATAATCCAATCTGTGTTTTTGGGGCACACACTCATTTCTAATACATTCACCTTTATTTTCTCTCAAATTTTCCTCTGAGTTTTTCTTTCCAACAGCATGTTTATATTTTCATTTTAGCATTTTCAGAGAAAAAAGAAAAATGCAGTTGTTCTACCCTCATATCCCCTTAATCTGGTCCCATACTTAGTTTTCTCTAGAATCCACAAATTTATTGCCAATATAATACCACATTGGATAAGGGAGGGGGGTATTAGAAGTTCAGTGGTGGAATTCTTGCCTTCCACATAGGAGACCTGGGTTTGATTCCCAGCCAATGGAGTCAGTGCAGCCACTATTCGTCTGTCATTGGTGGCTTACATGCTGCTATGATGCTGAATAAGTTTCAGCAGAGAGTTCAGACTCAGATGCATGACGAAGAAAGGCCCGGTGATTTGCTTCTGACCCTTTGGGTCACAATGGTCTGACCTACAACGCATCACGGGGATGCACAAGACAGGCAGCTGTTTCGTTCTGTTGTGCATGGGGCTGCCGTGAATCAGGACCAACTCTAAAGCAGCTACCGACAACAGCTTGATAAGAGCAGGGCAAGAAATCAAAATGCAAAGGCAGCATTTCTTCACATGTAACTGTTGTTCCTGCCACTTGACCTTTTTATAGGTTATTATTGCTATTGCCTCGTTTATAATTTGTTTTCCCCCACTAGACTGAATATTGAGCGTGGTAAAATTAGAATTTGCTGGTTTCCAAGTTCTGATCCATGGGGTCTTGGAGGCTTCACAGACTCCACCCCCTATCCCGGTCCTGGGCCATCAACCTGGGGGACAACAGAACAGGAGCTGCAAGTCCCCGACACTGCAGTCTACATTTTATGTCGTAAAAAGGAGAAAAAAATACTTGTGGGACTACATCTCATTTCATGATATTATCCTGTGAAATGTCTTGAATGCTATCTGAAATACAGTAAAAACTCAATAAAAATCAGTTGCTTCAGGTGTATTTGTGATATGTTCATTGATGTTTTCCAACCACTTTGATGTCTTCTCTCACTTTACATAAGACATGAAACATGGAACAAAGTATTAAATGATAAATTGAATTTTGAGTCATTATATAAGAATTATTTTGTAAGATTAATTATTAATTTCTAAAGTACAATTCATATAAATCTGGTTTTTCATATATTTGATTTGCTTAAAGTATATCAGTGCTAATACTTCAGAGAGAACAAGAATAAAGATATTCTTATTATGAGAAATGATGAGTCAAACATTATATTTCATTGTGAGTTAAAGCACCATCTTGGGCATTGTGTAGTTTTTAAAATCCCTAACTAGCCATATATAAGGCACTTGGTCATTTGAGTTCCCAAGAACCTGCTGGATTCATCCCCAGGACATACCATGGACTCCTGTACTTCAAGTCCTTGCCAAACTACATAACATCAATCTTGACTAATGCTCAGTTCCTATCAAAGGCCTATTTTTAAAAGTTATATTTATGGAAGATGAAGGACAGCAATCATTCATTTCTGCAAAATGTACTGTAACTGTTAATGGTGCTTTAGCTAGACCACTGGAAAAAAATGTATAGTTGGATCTTACTAACTAGATCTCACATAAAATAATATTTTGCTTTTATGCTACAAACTTTCATTGAAGGTCACACAAGAGCTACATGAAACCTGCTATTGCAGTTGTCACATAAATGATGCTGAAAACACTGTCCCCTACATAATTGAGCCGCATAAATGATTCCCTTGGGACATCAAACTCAATTGGTATAACATACTATACAAAACATTGTTCCACCTACTACTTTGGCGAGTAGCGACTGGGACCTTAAAAGCTAGGAAGCTGCCATCTAGATGCAAC